TAAAAGACGATGGCCAAAACAGCAAAGAATGTACATACTTGTACGACCACGATTTCAAAGGAGACTGACTGCGCAACGATCAAACATTCTTCATAACTATTAGTCTAAAAATGATAATCGCTTGATTCTTGTTCTGTAAGAAACATAAGAGACTGAAATTCAAACCACATGAAGAGTTTGAAAACATACGACTGAGTTTCATGGGTCAAACCAGCGAGGGAGCATCATACAGAAAGCAGGGAAATACATAATCAACCTATGCTTAAAACTCGGGTTCTTTCTCTCAAGGAATCAAATAAATCTCAAGGCTTAGGCTTCAAACAAAATCATGGTCTTTCTTACAAGTTAAGATAGATCTCATGTGTTCAAGGCTAGTACAAAAACATGGCAGAAGAGAGTTCCAACTTAACGAAATCTCAACAAGAATATAGATCTTCTCATTGAATTAAAACTAAAGGCATGAATCAAATTCTTGAATAAATATCATATATTTTTATACGATTCAAGCATGATTCTTGGGAATGAATCAACAAAATTTTACTCAGAAGGTTTATGTTGCGCCCCAGTCGTATATTAGAAGACATCTCGATTATGTAGTTTATTTATGCAGATAGTTGCATTATAACTTCTATGCTCGACAAGTTTTTCGGAATTAATTAGACGTTAGTGTCTATTTAATTCGATTAGAGAAATAACTTATTTAGACGTTAGTGTCTATTTAAATTATTTGAATTATCGAATAGTCTTTAGCTATTTGATTTTTATTCGAGACATTTATTTTAGTAGCCGTCGATTTTATTTAGTAGCTGTTGTCAGTACTTTTCGTTTCTGCTTCATCAATTTTATTATTCTCGATTTTTAGAGGTTATCGAGACCAGTTTTAGCCTTTTATTTTCAGCCCGTTAGTATTTTATATCTGGCCGTAAGCTTTAGTTTTTAATCAGCCCTCTTAGCATGTATTTCCGGCCCTTAGCAATACTCGGCCTAATTAGTGTGTTTTGTTCGGCCCATTAGGATTCTTTAGCATTAGAGAAACCGTGTCGGAGTACCTCGCCTTCAGCCGTGTGTAAGGTCCCTTCAAATCGAGGTCGATTCTCAACAACGGAGGCCACTCCCTATTCGATCTCATCCTTTCATCGAGTAGCCCTCGTCGCCGGCGATTCCCATCAGCAATGACGAACAACGGTGGTCCTCTCCGTCGAGTTTCACCATTGTCGGAGAAGTGACCTCATTTCGATGGCCACGGCCGTCCGAATACCGAACAACAACCATCTCAGTCGTGTTTCAGCGAGTAGCGGCCGTCCGAACACCATCGCCGAACAGCTCGAAGCCCGAAGTTCAAACAACAACAGCTGTTGAGCCTTCGCTCATAGTTCAGCGGAAGTTCAGGTTCATCGTCGGGTAGCTGTTCAAGAACTTTGGTTTCTGCGAGGGCTAGCAGCGAGAGAGAGAGAGAGAGAGAGAGAGAGAGAGAGAGAGAAAGAGAGAGAGAGAGAGAGAGAGAGAGAGAGAGAGAGAGAGAGAGAGAGAGAGAGAGAGAGAGAGAGAGAGAGAGAGAGAGAGAGAGAGAGAGAGAGAGAGAGAGAGAGAGAGAGAGAGAGAGAGAGAGAGAGAGAGAGAGAGAGAGAGAGAGAGAGAGAGAGAGAGAGAGAGAGAGAGAGAGAGAGAGAGAGAGAGAGAGAGAGAGAGAGAGAGAGAGAGAGAGAGAGAGAGAGAGAGAGAGAGAGAGAGAGAGAGAGAGAGAGAGAGAGAGAGAGAGAGAGAGAGAGAGAGAGAGAGAGAGAGAGAGAGAGAGAGAGAGAGAGAGAGAGAGAGAGAGAGAGAGAGAGAGAGAGAGAGAGAGAGAGAGAGAGAGAGAGAGAGAGAGAGAGAGAGAGAGAGAGAGAGAGAGAGAGAGAGAGAGAGAGAGAGAGAGAGAGAGAGAGATGAGCAGTAGCACCCCGTCGGCCCGTTCGTTTCGCAATAGCTCATTGCCGGATTTTTATACGCAGCAACAGACGTGTTTTAGTAGTAGCAGCCCGACCGCGAGCTCGTTCGACATCGAACCGAGAAGCGAGCAGGCCCTTAGTCGAGAGCCGAGAACCGTTCGAGGCCTTTCGCCTTTTGTTTTCAGCCGTTTGTTTAACCACGCAGAAGGTTGAAAGCTTAATCCCTCTTCGTTGTTTAGAACTTTATTTTGAAGGATAAAATTAATTGCTTAAAGGTTCATTGACTCGAGATTTTTGAAGTTGAGAATTGTTTGATAAATCCGTAAATTTAGAATGTTACGGCTGATGTTGGACTCTTGATGGTGGTGTTGATGAGGCTCTGAATATTCATGTATTTTTAAGAGTATAAGATAGCCGGGAAATGCCTTTTTGTCATTTGATAAATCAGATTTAAATTGCCTAGGTTGAGACCCCATTTATTCCGAGAAATGAGATTAAAGAGTCGAGATTTTTCAAAGTTTAAAACCTATGATTTTTTTTGTGAGAATTACTTGAGAAAATTTGGTATTTCATGCTTTAGATTTATTTTGAGAAAATAAGTTTTTATAAAAAAATAATTCTAGCCTAAAATGCCATTTTAGACTGGTCTTGAGTGATTGTGGATAAGCAAGGGAGTTGTCGAAAACAGACAATGCTGTGCCGGATGACAACAGCTGTAGTCGCAATCGGCCTGTGTCCGAGTAAGACTCGGAGGTGACTCGCATACTAGTGTGTGAGGCGCCGCATACTAAAAAAGCTGAGAACCACGAGACCCTGCGTCAGTGACCTGAGCCGCGCCCCAGATGTCTGTTTCCGAGCGCGGGCGCCCCACAGCTCCAGACTGTTTACAATTTACTAAATGCTAAAGTTCGTGCTTTCAGTATCATAATGCACTGAGCAGTTAGTAGCCAGTAGCAGTCCCCGTGCAGGCACCGAGCCGGGCAGCAATTCCGAATTGCGACCGATGTCAGCCGCTGTCGAGCCATAGAGCACTTAGCCGCACTGGACCAAAATGAGCCGCACTGAACCATTTTAAAATGAGTCAAAATGAGCACTTAGCCGCACTGAACAATATATTATTAAATTATTAAATAAAATTATATCTATATATTATTTGAAAGAATTATTAAATTATTAAATTATAGAGATTCAGAGTTATTAATAAAAGAGGTTCCTAAAATTTGGCTTTGAAGAGCATTATCTTGTGGCTTTTTTTAGCACATAAATGAGGTTTGGAACTATTTGAATTTTGATCTAAAAATAGCTAGAGGAAAATTCCAAATTAGTTTAATGGAACAAATCTTCCAAATCAAGTTTACCATGAGGCAGATATAGCTAAAACAATATTCTCGGCATGTAAGTTTTAATTGCCTAAAATTACTATAAATAGGGTGCATTTAATGCTTATGGCAGGAAAAGGTTACTAAAAATGATTTAAGTTAATTCTTATTATATATATAGATTTCTACTGACAGTATGGAAAATGGGAATCAATATTCTACAATTGACTTTTTGCATCAAAATGAATGAAATTTCACAAACTGCATTGCAGATGTGCGTAGTGACAACGCGTTTGTTAAATTTTTGCCCTATAAATTTCAAAATACATTAAGACATGTTTTGTTTGAAATTTGAAATTTAAATATAACAAATCCCATGATTTATGGTAGCATTAAATGCAAACTTAATTTTTTATTTAAAAAATTTAAAAAACATACAAAAAATGTGCAATTAATATTCCCTATTTTTTTGCTTACTATTTTTGATAAATAGTTATTATTATTATATATAGATAGATATTTTTTTGCATAACAAATAATCTATATTAAATAGTATCTGTTTCCCTAAAAAAATCTATTTACTATTTCGAGAAATTAATTTAACAATTTATGGTATATTTCAAATAATCAATTACGGAAATTGCGATTCATTATTTAAGTAAATTATTAAGCTATGAAAGAATTCATTTTTAAGATACCTTAATTACTCATATCATACTAGTTGATTTACCCAAATATAGGAATTTCGGCTGCAATATCAATTATGCGATTTGGTAAAAAATTTCTAACTAAATTTTATAATTTATTATTTAATAAGTGTTTTATATAATTTTGTGTAATTCTTTTGTGATGTGCATTTTTAATATACCTTAATTACGCAAATTGTGTAAATCCGACTGATTTATTCAATCTGCAAATAATTACTACAACTATGAAAATATAAACTACAATAATCAATTATGCAGTTTGCGAAAAGCTATTCTAAACAATTGTGTTAATGATATTTTTTATTTAAATAATATTTAATAATTGTTATTCATTTTTTGTGTATTTAATTACTCAAATCGTGGATAATTGAGAAAATAATTACACCATAAAAATTTATATTTTTAAGTTACCATAATTATACAAATCATGTAAATTCAGTTGATTTATTCAATTATAACTATTTATAAAGTTATTGATAATAATTGTGTTACTAGAAGTTTCTATCTTTTATGGCAAAAAAATAGTATCTCAATCTTTTATATATATATATATATATATGTATATGTATATATATATTTAAGCACTTTACTCGATATCAATGAAAGAAAAATTTGGAGAATAATATGGTCGCTCTTTTTTGTAAATGTGTGTGGAACATATAAAAGTTTGTATTTACTTAAATCACATTGTAGTTAAATCGAATTTTTGAATAAAAACTTTAAAATGACACTTATTTTGAAATGGATATAATGTAATTTATTATCAGTTTCTTGCACCATACGGTCATGTACTATTTTAAATAGACATGTTTTACGTAATTTTGCACAATGTAAATTTCATATAATATTTTCAACAAATTAATATAAATAAATTCTATGGCATATTAATTTTATGTTTTTTAATTTATAAATATTATTTAATGATAATTTTTAATTTATAAATATTAGAGAATATTTGCATGCGCAAGATTTGTACCAGTAAATATAATAAATAAATAAACAAATAAAATGTCAGGAATTTGATCAGGTTTTCTTTCCTACACTCCTCACGACGACCAGAGAGGCAGAGAGAGATCCAACTCAACCATGGCGCCCCCTTTCCGCCTGCTGATCCTACTCTCGGTTGCCTCCCTCGCAGCTGCCGAGATCCGATTCTCCGAGATTCGATCCGACGACCGGCCGATAATCCCTTTCGACGAGTTCGGGTTCACCCACCGTGGCCAACTGGAGCTCAACATCACCAAGCTCTCCCTTTCCGGCCCCGCCACCGATCTCTCGGCCCTATCGAGCGTGGGATTCTTCCTCTGCACCCGCGACGCCTGGGTCCACGTGCTCCAGCAAATCGAGGACGCCGAGATTAATTGCGTCCTCGGATCCGACGCCGTACAGAAAGTCTACACCTTTGACCGCCTCCCGTCCCCCTCCGCCTCCGAATTGAACTTTCTCTACGCCGAGTCCGACGCCGATCAGTACACCCTCGTGTTCGCCAACTGCCTTCCGCAGCTGAAGGTGTCTATGAACGTTCGGTCGGCCATGTACAACCTGGAGGACGGCAGGTCCAACCACCGTGATTATCTCTCAGCCGGTAAAACCGTTCTGCCTAGGGTTTATTTCCTCTTCTCCATCATCTACTTCGTTTTGGCCGCCACCTGGATCGCTGTTTTGTACAAGAAGATGTTGACGGTTTTTGGGATTCACTTCTTCATGCTGGCCGTGGTGCTCCTGAAAGCACTGAATTTACTGTGTGAGGCTGAGGACAAATCATACATCAAGCGGACGGGGTCTGCCCATGGCTGGGATGTGTTGTTTTACATATTTAGTTTCCTGAAGGGAATTACTTTGTTTACTTTGATCGTGTTGATTGGGACTGGGTGGTCGTTCTTGAAGCCCTACTTGCAGGATAAGGAGAAGAAGGTATTGATGATCGTGATCCCGCTTCAGGTGGTAGCAAATATAGCACAGGTGGTGATAGATGAGACAGGGCCTTTCGGTCAGGATTGGGTCACCTGGAAACAGGTGTTCCTGCTTGTTGACGTTGTTTGCTGTTGTGCGGTGCTTTTCCCTATCGTGTGGTCGATCAAAAACTTGCGTGAGGCGGCCAAGACCGATGGAAAGGCCGCTGTAAATCTGATGAAGTTGACTCTGTTTAGGCAGTATTATATAGTGGTGATATGCTACATTTACTTCACGCGTGTTGTGGTCTATGCTCTTGAGACCATTACATCATATAAGTACCTTTGGACTAGTGTGGTGGCGGGGGAGTTGGCCACACTTGCATTCTATGTCTTCACTGGGTACAAGTTCAAACCCGAGGCCCACAACCCGTATTTTGTGATTGATGATGAGGAGGAGGAGGCTGCAGCAGAACAGTTGAAGCTGGAGGACGAGTTTGAATTGTGAAGCCAACTTGAATTGGGGAGGAATGTTTAATATGCATCTCGACTTGGAGAGGATGAGGTATGCATTGCTACAGTTATACAGGTTGCCTAATTCTGTGTGCTTTTCATTTTTTCTTTTTCCTTTCATTGATTGTCGAGAACTCTTGGAGAATAATGTATGAGGTTAATATCATGTTGATCATCCTTGTTATCTATGATTGTTCGTGTGGGGGCTTCTGATTTGTGAATCTCATGAGTGGCAAGACATTGAGTGAATTGAATGTCTTATGATTTGGGTTCATATTTGGTTGCTTAGTGATCAGTTTGAGTTTATATGAAGTGCATATTGTAGCTGCCTAGTTTCAAGTGTAACCTAAATATTTCATTGTGATTAGATGCTTTCTGGAGATTACTGTTGGGTTTGATATCACATTTTCCTTTGTCTCATTAAACCATTGGAGGTAAATGGTTTCTGGCCATCTATATCTCATTGTTCCATGCTAATGGTTGCAGCTGGTACAGTTTATAGTTTCATCAGTTGGAACTTGAAAAGTTTTTTATATATTGTCAGCCATAAAAACTGTTGCTATATGGAAATAGAATTCCGTTTCAGAGAAATTTTAATTCTGATTTTAGAAACAGAAATTGGTAATTTGTTCAAAACTAGGGGAGAATCATGATAATTTCACTTACCACCGTGTGTTGAGGTCACATGAAATTTGTTCTCTTTTCTTGCAGCGATAGCATCCACATAGAATCTTTGCTATTATTTGCAAACTATTTCCAGTTAGTAGCTTAGAGGAGTTTGTGCTAATCAATTTGGTTGTACCTGTACAACTGGAAAGAAATTGACAGGATATTTTATCTGTTTCAACATTCAAATTAATTTACTAGTCGATTTCATACAAAAAATGACTTCGATCGGCTGGATTTTGCTGATTTTGTTTACTTTGGTTCTAGGCTGAAATCAACCAGACTGGTTGATCCTGTATATGAGCTATAGATCTAGCTGGACCATGGACTTCATTTCTGCAACAAGGACTTGCATGAATTGTGAAGACATAATCAAATGTGTTTTTTTTCTCTTGTTTGAAATGGAGGAATTGAGAAATTGTCAAGAACTTATAAACTATCTTTTTGGTTTATGATTTCATATAATCCCGTTTAAAACTATTTAGCATTCTCATTAAGAACATTGAGTGCGATCACCGCTAGAATGTTGGCAAACTCCTGAGATAATCTGTCTGCTTTTCCCCAATTGCTTGAATTTTGTCTCATGAATTTTGGCTGATTCTATTCATTTTTTTTTTTTCAAAGAGTAGCTTTATAAGTTGCCTTATAAACACATTAACGCACGTAGCCAAGGGTTTAAAAATCGTAGACGTTTGTCCACGCTACTGACTGCTGTAACAATCAATCAGTCAGGAGTTAGGCTAACCTTTATGGGTTTAGATTTGCTTGGAAGACCATTACATGTGTTAGTGTATATACTAAAGCTTGGTTTATGGGTTATTTACACTATTTTTCGTTGAATGAGAATCATGTTTAATTACATAGTTTTCTATGTTATGATGTTATGGTCCATCACTGATGGACAAAAGATCATATTATCGGTTACTCGTAAAACATAAATAATTAGTTCACAACCTAGATGGAAATAACACATCGTGAATGGTTGTAGTGACAATTGTACAGTCTGTCTTGATCGATTGATTTCACTTGTACACTTTGTGTATTCAACGGATATCAGAGAGAATACATTTGTTTTATACTGATCAAGTAAACAAACTAGACCTCGATTAATTACTGCGTACTCTGAACTTGTAAGATGCATACAATAAACACATGCATACAATAGACACATGCATACAATAGTTGCTTGTTTGATTCACTAAAAAGTGAGATTCATTTTGTTGGATCAATAGACTGATGTGAGTTGGGTAGTGATGTTGTGTGTATGTTGTGATGCTCGAATATTTACGGTCACCGTGTGCTTTGGGCTGATGATGTCCCGAAAGTGAGCTCAAAAAAGATTTTTATGGTAAACCGTGCCGACAGATTGAGTTTAGACATGTTCAAGAAGTCAGTTAATTATATTGTTAGTGATTAATTTAATTGACGAACATTATATCTTAAACACAGGCAGGTAAATCGAGTAATTATAATTAGAGCCTCAAATGTAATTTGAGAGAAATGAGAAGTGCAATAATATTAATTTAGTGGATTGAAATATTAATCATGTATGAGCAGAGTGTGCTTGACCTACAGTTAGGCCTACATTTGGGAATCTCATATTTAACCGTTGCTTAAGAGTCTATGTTGTTGCCTATAAGTACACAACATCTCTTTGAATTTGAGAGACAGAAGTTCAAATGCATAAACACATGCCTAAGCCTCTTAGGAATCCCAGTTGAGAGATTTCCGAGTACGAAAACTTTTATTCTGGAAATAATTATGGGCCAACTCCCACAACTTTTCAGACCATTAGGGTATTTCTATATACAGGTTGAGAGTATTGCCTTAATTCTTTATGACCCACAACGAAAACTTTTACATTTTATTTACTCTTTAACATAACAGAAAATAATTATGGGCCTAGGCGCACAATGCAAATGCAAAAGTAAAAGCAATGGCAAAAGCAAGAACCACAAAGTCATATTCTTCGTCGAAAAAAAAATAAAAATAAAAATAAAAAGTAAGGAAGGAACAAAAGGTGTACCAAAAGAAAAAAATCCTTTGTTTTCATTTTTTCATCCACATCACAAACTCAAAGTACGAACAAGTAAAGGCAGCCTTAATGGAGGATATGATGATGGTGATGATGAAGATGAGAAGCCACGAAAATTCTCTCTCAAACCCTCACCACCCAAATTACAACAATAATGATATCATGAATATCCCAATTACCAGCAGAGGCACCCCAACCTGGAAACTGTACGAAAACCCCTTTTACAATCATCCCACACCACAACACCACTTACAAATTCAGCCGAACCAAGATCCGGACCAAATCCACCTTCTCCACCTCCCTCTCTCAGCCGCCAAAATTGCTACCTCCTTTTGGGACCTCACATTCATAAACCCACTACTGATGGAATCCCGGCTCGAGTCTGAATGCAAGGCCAGAAAGAAAATGGAGAGCCTCAACAAAAGGCTGAGAAGGGAACTCAAGGAAGAGAGAAAAGCTCGGGAGGCCCTCCAACGGACTTGCCAGGAGCTTGCTAAACAAATCAGCCACAACACAGCTGAAACAAACGCAATGAAAAAGGAAATTGAAGAGGAGAGGAAAATGCTACGCATGGCCGAGGTCATCCGTGAAGAACGCGTGCAGATGAAACTCGTCGATGCCAAGATCCTTCTTGAAGAGAAATTGTCCGAGTTGGAGATGGCAAAAATTGTTAGTATGGGAAAAGAAGTTATGGATAATAGAGATTGCAATGAAAAGGTTATTGTTTGTAGGTCGAACCCTCACATCAAGAGAGGGGTCAAAGGTTTCGTTGAGTTTCCGAGGATTGTTCGAGCGGTCGGCTGCAAGAGCCGTAAGCATATGGGGATGAGTAGGCTGGAGTGTCATAAAGCTCATCTCAAGCAGAAAGAGAGTGTTATGTTTCATGGAATTAATCATGGCGAGCTAAGTGTTTCTTGATTGGATTTTAATCAACTCTTTATATGTTTTTAATTATATGATTTTGTGGTTTATATACCTATGGATTTGTTTTTCTTTGTAAGTGGTGGTTTGTCAAGGGAAGGGATCAAATGAAAAGTTCGATTGTTAATTTGTTATGATTGGATTTGTATTAATTAGTTGAATTTTATGTGAAAGGTTTCTTGTTTTAGAATTGTCGTGGAAGAGAATGAAAGTTTCTGTTGTGTCCATGACATTCACATCTTTAGTAACTCAATGACTGCATCCAATTTCCAGACCTGCAGGAATCTGTTCAGTTTGTCTAAAGTTGGTATAACAGTGTTTGACCATCATTTTCATAGAGGTGATATATTATATGACGCCTTAGTTAATCTAGTACGAAACACGTTTTGGTAAAATTTATAAATTTAAAGTTATTAATCAATAAGTTATAATACGTAGAACATTTGTCAAGTAATAATAAAATGTTCATCATGAAAAAATCATACATTATTGAAAACCTCATTATTTTTTCATGCAAAATTATTTTGCATATCAATATTTATCAAGATTGCTTTCCACGTGGTAATTACGAATTGTATAGACACCTCATTCCTCTAATTCGTTGTTGATTTTCTGACCGGTAACACCACGAAATAAAATTAGAGTGAAAAATATGTAATATTGTAAAAAATACTAAAGATGTGATTTATTGGGTGAAATTTAATTTTATATGGAATATAAGAAAAGTTGTTAGCTTGAAATGTGGATTTTGAGTATTATATAACATTTTTGTTTTTGTTATGTTTTAACATAGATTTGGAATTTCGATGGTATCTTGTGTAAAACAATATTTATAAAAATAATTACGGTAAATAAAACAATAATATCTTATCATTTGTAGCTCAAAACTAACTAAATGAATCGGAGTACATGTAAATTACAATATTTTACCAAAAAAATGTTTCATAAACTATTGGGAGAAAATCCTAAACCAGTTAGACCACAGCCAAGAGCAGTTCTAGGGTTTAACAGCCTAAAAGATGGAGCAATGTGGAAAGTATCTGTCCTTCAAGATCCTACTGACCAACAGATTTGGTTGTGTGAATATCAAAATGAGTTACTTAATATTTTTATAAAATATTGGGAGAAAATCCTAAACCTTTTAACCGTATAAAGAGTATAAAATTATTATTTTTTGTAAAATATTTTGTTAGAAATAAATAAATAAGTAATATTAAATAATCTTATGTGATTATATTAGTTGTTGCTTAATAATTAAGGTATTTTGGTAACAACTTCATTATATAAAACATACACAAAAAAATGACGTAATACATATAAATGTGCTCTTATTCTTTCAACAAATAAAGTATTTTTTTGTGAATAGAATAGAAACAAATAAAACAATAGTAATGCAATGGTGAAAGAAAAAGTCTGAATTTTCTTAGAGAAGTATGAATACCAATATATAGAAACAATTTTTTTAAAAAAAAAATATCTATTTTTTTGTTGTTATCGTTCAAATATAAAATTGGTTCTTATAAATAATGATCCTATATTATCAATTTTTAATTTTAAATAATTAAAAACTTATAAAATTTATAATATATAATCTAGCTTTTAATTGTGACTTCTTAATAATAAAATTTATATATGACTAAGAGTATCATAATATAATATAATTCTAATTCTTCTCTCTCAAATATTATGAAATGATATGCTTCTCAATACTGCCTCATTATTTTGTTTTGTTTTATCCTTCATTGTTGAAGAATAAAAAAAGAATCTTTATCTTGAATTTTTGAAGCATAATGTATGATGCAAAAAGTTGGACAAAAAAATCAATAAAAAAAGTTACTAGGCACATAAATATTCCATATGCGAACTAATGTGAAAGATATTATGATAAACAACTCTAAAATCATTGTAACAACCAAGATGGTCAATTATGTTCAAATAATAGATTATATTTATATAGTTCATCTACATTCCAACTAAATAACATTGAAAAGGGAACGCTGGAGTCTGATCAAAATAATTTTGAATGTAACTGTCACATTTTGATAAGAATATTTACAATCTCATTATTGTATATGCTTGAACATATGTGCAATTATTCTAGAGTACATACTTTCATGTAATGAGTGATAATTTAAAAAAAAAAAAAAATAGTGCATTTGGAGAACTATATATAACCTAGATTTTGAAAAGCCAACTTTTATTTGAAGATAAAGTTCCCACCCCATAGGGCAATGTCTCCATGGGGTATGTACCAATTTATCTATAGAGAATAATGTAGTAGTTTATACACTAATAAAAAACTAGTAATTTTAATGACACGGTTGGTAATTTCACAGAGAATTCATAAATTGTTAGTAGAAATACCTTATAATGATCATATAATCATGAAACTTGACTATATGTTAAGCTAGAATATTTCTAAGTCATGAAATAAAGTAGACATTTTGTCAAATGAATAAAGAAGAATTTTGCAATACTATTGATGTATTAGACTCCAACATGTATGGATGCTTTATATGAGAACGTCAAAACCAAAATGAACGAAAATCAATCTTAAATCATCCAACATGAATAAATAAAAAAACTAATGCATCTATAATATACATTAGATCCTTATTTTAGTTATTTAGTGTTTTTTTTTATTAGGGACTCATTTTTCATACTTATTTTGTTGAGTTTGTCATATGTTATTTCATTCTTTTTATAGTGAGAAAAGAAAAATACATTAGAAATTCATTTGTTCACATTTTATTTCGTTCCTACAATGATATGTTTAATCAATTAATTTATTTTACTAAACTTAATCGGCCAAAAACATTCACTACAACGTGTATCGCACGTGCACTTTACTAGTATGAAAAAAATGCTCACTTTTAATAAATAGATAAAATTAAGCACAACTAATATTTGATCCTGTGCATTTGCACAGATATAAAATACGTTTTTGTTTGTATTTATTAATTAGACATGTACTTCTATCATATAAAAATTATTACTTTTTCTTAAGTTATTTTTATCATTCAAAATTAATTGAGATTTTATTTTAACCATGCAACGTTTACATTAGTAACATGAATAAAATAATTTATATATTTGTGGCATATATTAAGAAAATTAACATAAATAAAAAAATATTATTGGTGTTTCTGATTTTTAGAAAAAAAAATATGTGTCAATCATATTTTTTTTCCAACAATACAATTGATTATAGTGGTTACAGATCTGAATGTGCCAATCAACTTTAAGTTCCAAATTAACCGTTACACATTTGAATATTTTGCTACCAAATTTAGAATTAATTTAGTAACTGATTCAAAAAATAAATAATAAAAATATATATTAAGGTGTAACGGTTTTAACAGATTAGTGAGTAATTAATTAAAAAAATGTAACTGCTTTTGGAGGGAAATGAAAATAGGTTTTATTAAATGTTCTATTAAATGCATGAGCTAGTAATTATATATATATATATATATATATAGAGAAAGGATCATATGAGAATGACTCTTAATGCAAGAAATGAGAATGGATCTGGATCATTAGATCCAACATATCAATGATTAAGATGAAGTCAAATTAGGGTCAATCATTAATGGCAATTTAGTAATTGTTTATCATGTTATGGTCAATTATATGTATTTGACCAATAATAAGGGTAAGTTAGTAAATATAAATATCAGGTGGGACCCACTCACCAAATAACTTCACACCACTTTTCTCTTTCCTCAATCTCTCTCTACTCACCCTTGTTTTCTCTTTCCTCTATCTCTCTCACGTTCTGAAATATTTTGACGAACACACGCACTACACACACTCACACACACACACTTTGCAGTCGGGATCCATTAACCGTCCGCCACCCCGCCGCCCGCCAACTCAAGATTCCCGCCGCCGTCTGTAGTATTATCCGTCCCTCCATCTCGTCGGAGACTCGCCGGCCAAGGAGGATTTTCTGAAACTCCGGCGAGAATTAACCGAAGAAATGTCCAGACCATATATCTCTGCTTAGGGCCAGCAAAATACGCCACAAGCCGCCGCTTCGGACGCCGCCGAGATGGCCGCTAGAGTGATGAGTAGCTCAGCCCAGCCGCCGCAAGTATGTCGCCATTCTCGCCGGAGAACCAAGCGGAGGAGAGCCGGCGGTCGATTTCCAACATGACCTTCACAGAGAGGAGCCGCCAGAAGAGATCGGGCACTGATGAAAGGCAAGTGACAGTGACGGACGAAGCTTTTAGGGCTAGGGACTTATGTTTGAAAATTAGATATGTCAAAAGGACCTTTATGCAATTTAGGAATGTTTTGGATGTGGCTAATACAAAAAGTCATACCTGTATGTGGCCCATGTTCACTTCCTGATTTTGAGTACATATGAAAGCCCAAAATTAAATAGACTCATGTATGTGTGTTTTCTATGTGCCCAATAATATTCTAGGAATTTACTTAGTCCAATTCACAATATTTTGTTTATTACACATTTACAATTTATCAAAAATCAAAGGCTGAAAATATAATATTTTTACATAATAATAACAATAATAATAATAATAATAATAGTAATAATAATAATAATAATAATAATAATAATAATAGAGTTTTTTTTCTTATCTAAATAAAATCAAAGAAAACGATGAAAACGAACGGACGTAATCGAGTTTTTTAATGTAAAGAATGATAATCGAACCGAAATTTTAAAAATTCAAAAGGAAAATTTTGGTTTCAACATATTCGGTTTATTTTTTCGGTTAACATAAATAATAGAAATAGCTGAAATAATATTATATTATTTATTATAAAAGAACATGATTAGTATTTAATATTATTTTTTTTACATTTTATATTATTTTTAATTAAAAAAATTGTATATATGTAAACGAAATATACGGTGCAATATAACAATTATTAAGGTGCAATTCGTACATCACTGTGGTGCACTGTGCCGGTCTGTATTATGCAGATTGAACCAACCGAACTTTTGTACCAAATCAAATTGAAAATGA